TACTTTCCTTTTCAAGATTAAAAATAACTACTCAAGGAAAAACCCACCTTTTTGGCATCTGTTTTCTAACACCCTGTACAAACATTGGGTCAAATGTCAACCAGGCCGCACAAATATGGCGAAAATGTTTTCATCGCCATTATAAAAACACACATTCTGCATATTTTTTAACTTTTTTAGAATGAGTAGGAAATTGATAGCCACGTTTATTTATATTATATTATCGATAGAACAGCAGAGAGTCAAAGCTGGTTAATCGGTTTGGAAATCGTTCCTAATTAGTTATTTGCGAATATCGTTAACGACAGGTGTCTCCTAACTGTATACGCCCGCCGAGTACCGTTCCATCAATTACCATAAATTTGAGTAAAGTTTCATTCAAATTACGCATCAAACATCTATCATTATAACTATTATTTCTGTATTTGTACTGTTAGAACTAGGAAACATATTCACAACTACGATAACTAGCTAGTAAGTTATTTTATGCTGTATGTGTTATCACCGTTAACATGATTAGTTCAATAGTTATTTTTGGATATAATTTCAAGAACTCTCAGTTCAGTGTCTTGGTGACAATTTAGAGAATAATTACGAAACGTGGATAAATTTGGTAAAAGGGATGTTTATTTTGGGGTTCCGGGAAACCAAAATACTTTTTTCTGTTTTAATATTGATTTTTATCGACCCTTTAGTTTCAAATCAGTAATTCCTTTTAATATTGTACGTTGTTTTGGAAAATGAGCACTGATGGATCAACTGGGCGCCAGGGTTATTTAATATTAATTTTTGAGAGGTAATTTTTGATACTTTGCAGATAACAACAGGATTTGTCCACGTTCCATTCCCCACGTCACACAGCGGGCCAGGATGACCCAAAAAAATTGAAAAAATATTTAATGGCTATTTGCGATATAAGGGCTTTTTATGAAGTTCGTGAAACCTTAATACTTCATTGTATTTATGAGGCATTTATTTAGAAAATAGAAGATGCGGTATCTAAAATTCATTCTGCGATAAATATTCGCATCAGAAATTAGAGTATCTGCCTTTGGATGAGTAAATAATGTAGAAAAATATCATATTGTATTCTTTATTCTGAGATAATGGCAAATCTGTAGTTTTTGTAGGAACCGATTTGGAAAAAAAAACAGAAAATATTTCAAAATAAAACTTAACAACAGTATCAACTTTAATTTAATGATAATAATAATAATAATAATAATAATATAACAAGTTTTATTTGAAATTTAAAAGCTCTAGCAAAATTTAAAGCTTCGGGACTAGATCTGTTTTTATTCAAAGCATTGATTTTGCGAAAATTTGCGATTTTTGGATCAGACGAAAGTAACAAATTATGAAGTACATCCAAATTTACGTTGCATTATGTTCCCTGTATCTTCGCTACTCTTTATCGCAGGCCTCTTGGGGCTTTTCGGAAAGTAGTCCAATTATCACTAGACTGGACTACTTCCGTGTATCAATATTTTATGGAAAGTTACTGTCATTTTGTACCAAGGATACAGGGAAACAAATAATCGAGCAGTTTCTGTCAAATAGATTTCAAAATCATCATCTCTAATACTAAGTCCACCAGCTAAAACTTGTAAAATAACATAAAAACTGAAAACGAATTTTTCATCTAATTTGGTAATTTCGGCGGAAACTGCATAATTTTTTAAAATTTTTGTTTTTCCTTTTTTAACAACTAACTTGTCCGAGGTCACGTGTGCCACGTGCCATTTTCCCAATGATAACTGATAACTAATTTTTAGAACACATTCTAAGCAGCAGCATGAAGCGGGGAAATGCCATATACCAGGTATGCATCATTTATCGGCCTCATCAAATTATGTTCTATTTGGTTCATAATTGCATAAATCGACTAATGTGATATGCGCGTGATCTTGTGTAGCACAATTTTGTTCGTTAAAAATCTTTTAACTTGCGTAGTAGACCTCTATATGTGCCACCTTATTATTATTATTATTATTATTATTATTATTGTTATTATTATCATTACCATTATAATTTGAAATTGAATTGTATCGATGTGACTCGACAGCTAGCTTCCAACGCGACTGGTTACATTAAAGCTCCTTCGTCGAATGAAAACAGCCATTTTTATGCGTTCGCTTGGGATGGTCGCTGCATACCAAGTCGCGGTCGCCTTTAAATGTCAACAAAAGTGCGACGTCACGCGGAATCACTGATTGCCCGTTTTAAATATAATCGTGGTTTAATGCACAAAACGCGAACCGAGGACGCTTATGGCTTTTAAAACGGTTTTGGCACCAAGTCGACTGGTTTTTCAGGTTCCGTTGTTGTCGAAACTTTTTCGAATCGTCGATATTTTGCCGTAGCTACCATCAAGTTGGCCGTACTCTATTTGTGTAGTTACGAAGAGAGCGAGTCTTTGATCATCTTCCACCTGAATTTGATCGTCTTTTAATAACATATGTCTCGTCAGCAGATAGAGCGATTAAGGTCGTTTATGTACTTTACAAAATGCAAGGGCCCCAATACTGAACCCTGTGGCACCTCGTAAATTATTTGAGGAGCTGCGATTGACAAATTTAACATAAAGTGTTCCTTGCATATTTATATTTTAAATTGTATTATGGATATCCTTGACCTCTTGATTGCTCTTCTTTTAATGACATTTATGTACGTTTATGTACTTTACAAAATGCAAGGGCCCCAATACTGTACCCTGTGGCATCTCATTAATTATTTGGGAAGATGCGATTGATGAATTAAAGCTTTCAAGTGTTCCTTGAATATTTATATTTTAAATTGTGTTATGTGTGTTTTTGACCTCTTGATTGCTCACACTAAATACGAAACAGGCATAAATTTATTGTGATCTTAAATTTATTTATATATTTATTTCTATTTCTATACAATACAATAGAAGAATACAATTATAACGGTTTTTTGAGTTGTTTAGTGTAGTCCAAAACCAAGAAAACAAATGGTAATTTCTAACGTTGTATGTAATTATGTGTCTGTATTGTGATCAATGTTGTGTTGAGATAATTGTATGTTTATAATGGTGAATTTTGAGAAGAGCAAGTAATTGATATAACATATTAAACTGAATGTGATTAGAATGTGATCTATATGTTGAATTCGCATGGCGTACAGGTTTGACAGTCTGTGGTTTTCGCCATATTTTGCGGTTTTTGGCGAAAAATTTGTTGAAACGCTTTCTCTAACTCTGTCGACACTTTTTTTCTGAAATTTACAGTTCAAGAACGCGCGAACTGCAACGCCGCTAACTTAACCGCAACGTTTTCCGGCTGCTTTAAACCTAATTTCGCTTATACGAGTGTGAAATATTTGCTGAAAAGGCTTTTGGTGTAACGTACTAAAATTTGGAAGTTACCTATAATTTATTAATCACATATATACCTAAATAAAAGTTAAGAAACAACAAAACATCTTTTTTATAATTTCCTAGATGAGAATTTAAGGCAGATATTCATAATTTTAACATCATTAAGTGCTTTTAAAAAACATCTCAAAAAATTTATTCTGTTAGCTTCGAAACCATAAAAAATTCGACAAATAAAAACGCATAAACAACAAAAAGTAGACGAAATATGAGAAAATATATATGTACAAGAATAAATGACGAAAGAAAAAGAGGAAAATGTCTAGAATAAAAAGACTAGAAATTACATGCAAGATTTGCTTGTTTTCAATATCAAATGTAAAGTAATATTTGTTGTTTAAAATGTTGATATTATGTAGGTTAGACTTTGTGTTTTGTATAAATTGTGTAGCAATTCACTTAAACATTTGTTAACGTCACTTTCTACAATACAAGGTAAATTTATGATATGTGATCCCGCACAACTTATGGGTTTTAATGACAATTTTCATTTGTGTATTTTGTAGATGTACAAAATGCGAAGTATTATTTATAATTTAAATTTGTCGTTGTCTACAGAATAAGCATATTGCTAATATGATTATTATTAATATATTAATTAATTTCCAAAGGGTTAAAAAAGGAATGGTGACAATCAAAACTGTTTTTCTCCAACGGAAACACTTCTGCTCTTATAGTCCCAGTGAATGTTAAACTTGATAGCGGCAGCCTGCAATACTGTCATTCTATACTTCTATGTGCACCTGTCGCTTATGAAAACTACTTTATTGCTAGATATACACATCGTCTCCAAGTTTAGGACTTACCACCCTAACAATTTCTTCATTTTTTCGTTAGATAGGTATTATTTAGAAAAACTGATGGCAGATATCAATGTTTCGAAAAATCAAAGAAAAAATTGAATTTGCATATGAAATAGGTAATCTACACGACATTTTCATTATACATTTAGTAATATTTGGAAACTTTTATTTGGAAAAAATTTTTAATGTTGATACTGCGAACTCTCTGAAACGAATCAACAAATTTAAATTTAGAGAATTGGTTTATAAATTACACATACATTATTTCAATTTTAGACAGCTTATTGAAAATTGCAAAAAAAGGAAAAAATTCGTTTCGACTATGTACTTGGAAATTAGTTGTAATCTGGAAAACAAATTCAAAAATGCGTCAAATATTTCAAAAAATGTCTAATTTACAACAAAAAGTTTATCAAAATTGACGATAAAATAACGATTTGACTGCGTGGATAAGTGCTTAACGTAGACACGCTCTATATGTATATTTATAACTTTATATATTTCTGTTGTAAATTGCATACAATTACTATACAAGCTTTCTCCAATCGGCCCTTGTGCATTACTACACACTCGTATAGTTACTTCCGCGTGTTTAGTCCGCCTTCAAAGGTTATCTTTAAGAAAGTGTTGGGCGACCTCGATTTTCGGGCGCCTTGCTTTCACGCAAGATTCATCTCGAGGGACTGGTTTTTCGGAGGTGATGACTTCTCCAACGCGTCACTGACACACATATCAAAATCAGCCCAAACCTACACGACTCGTTACCGTTACCACCTTCATTATCACTGCATTCAACTTACCCCTCAACCCGGGGGTTCGTTGCCTGACCTACCGTCGGAGGTTCCCGTCTCTCCCGTGTATCCTAGCTCCCACGGGACGCACTAAACCCGCATGTTAGACTCGCGGGTACGCGATACCACCATCCACGGTGATCACTTTACGCACGAACGCCGAAATGTCGAACCAGGAAACGTCGAAAGCAATCGCGAACGGAAAAAACTATTCGCTATATGGTACCGTAATACGCGTTCCTACGCGGTACTCACACTGGCACACCTGCCACGAAGGCTCGGCGATAGCGAGCGGTACCTCGCGGGGTCGGGAGCGGGGGTACGACCACGAGCGGTAAAGGCGAATCGAGGCGCGTATTGGTGGTTGCCGCGTTTCACTGGAAAAAGGCTGATGCAGTTTCCGTGGTAAAAATCGTAATAGGATACGCCAGCGCCGCCTAACGGACTACGAGACTAACTAACTAGCCTCTCGAAAATATCTTTAAATTGTTCCCTTTGCATTTCATGTGTTCATATTGAAACAACCTGCAGGATAGACTGGATATTTTCCATTGAAGTCTTAGTAGTTTTAGAGTTTGTTATTTATTTAAATTTTATCTCTTCCCTCTTCTTCTTCTTTTTTCCTGAGTTTTCTAATTTCATTTTATGTTATAAATTAAAACTGTGTATTTTGTTATCGCATATTTTTTGTTCTAGGTCTACTTTTCTCTGTAATGCCTGTAGCAATTAACGATAGCAATAAGTTAGGATGCTGATACCCTGACTGGTCATGCTTTTTGCTGAAATATTTTGTAAAATTGCTGAAGAGAATAATAAATGTCTTATTATTTTTATTCTTATCACTTTGAAATGTGTACTTTTTGAAATTTTTACATTGGAAATTATTGTTTATGTCCTCCCTATATTTGCTAGTTTCTTCTGTTGTTTGATAAGAGTATTATAAATAAATAAATAATAAATATAAAAATTTCGGAATAATTTTAGCAACCTTAAATTAAAAAGTCAAACCACGAATATCATTTATTGAGATCGATTGAGATATGTACCTCAAAAGGATATACTTAGGCAGTCATTAAGAAACAGCTACATGAGTCTTCGATTCTGTCTGATGGCGATTTTATGCAAAATTTCTTTGTTCTTATTTCAAATTCAGCATTTGCTAACTCTTTTAGTTTGAAAAATAAGTTACAAATGAACTATTTTAAAGAAAAATTGACAGTGACGTCTCAGTATTGAAAAATTTGCATCATTTTTGTTTACTAACTAATTAATCACTTTCAAAATAAACCTTATAGGCATATAGGCTCGACTCTTGAAAATTCCACACACCTTTGCAGCAGACCGTAGCAAATATAGGTTTTTTTAAAGAATTATTCGCATTTGCATTATCCATATATTGGCAAGGAATGAAACATAAAGGAAACTTTCGTCCAAATTAAACTTGTAATAAACATTTAACCTATTAAGATATGCCAAAATTACATTGAGACAATTGAGCTTCTTCAAAAGAAAGTACTGAGAATAATAAACTTCACTCTGCCTTTCACGTTTTTACTCGGCCGTGTCCTGTGCAGCGCCATCTGCACGCGAGCTCACCAACCTTGTTGTACCTTTTCGGATAATTTCTAAATTGCTAGATTGCTCCACAGATGACGCGTACGATCAGTTTGCACAGGATTTAATTGATTTTTTATCCCCCATCAGCAGAGAAAAACGCAATCTCTAATTGGTTATTTTGTAGAGATAGTTCGTACTTTCCTCGATATACGTACGAGCCAAACATTTGCAAGAAAAATGTAGCATATTCAATTTTCTCAGTTTAGGAACTATTAACGCCGTCCCCACAGAAACTAACAACATTTATTATTCCTTTTCGACTTATAGTCTGTGAGTAGTCTAATAGATGGCGCGCAGTCTGCGTCGACAGAACTTGAATACATTATGGCTTTTCTGCCATTCTTCCACCAAACTCGCTTCAACTGTAATAGCATATTAACACTGAACATTGAAAATAGCTTTTTCGAGTTTTTCTCGAACTAATGGCGCCATCTATAGGTTAGAGTACAAACTTTAATGTGCCTTGTCGCTCAATAGTTCGCACGTTACTGCATAGATGGTACGTTGCATGCCTCGACAGGATTTAGTTAAATTGTTTTCCACAGACCTTAAACGAAATATAGCATTTTCAGTGATTTTTCAAACGGTTTCAATGATTTAACAATACCGCTACTTGTAAAGGACTTTTATTCCGATTTTTTTTCTAGAAACTGGTGTGCTACCTGTACGACAGTACTCAAACTTTAGTGGATTATTTGTTACAGATGGTCCAAAAATCGATCGTTAGATGGTGCTGCCGTTGAACTTGGGTCACCTTTTACGTCCATATCGATTTTCAATGTATTTTGCCCAAACTTATTATAAAAGAAAGAGAACTTTTGTGAACGATTAACGCCCGAAGCCATAAAACGTCTAATATCACTTCGAAAAGTCAAAACATCCACTCCAATATATTCCATTCATTTTTGATTTGTTATTTTAACAACAAAGGAATATTTGTTACAGTTACATAGTACATTCTTTTCCCACTATAAACCTTGTTATTTAAAATAACTAAAGTTTATTTAGCGGACACAGGAAACTAATTAATCAGCTTCTCATTTTATGTTATCTGTACCTCAAGTTGATATTCCACGAAAACCTTGAAGTAAATTTACCATTTAACTTTCGCTTTGGTCTAAATTAATTGATTTGGCACACGTCATCTATATATTAATTTATAAATTTATAACCATCCGGAACAACTTAGAGGTGCTTCTATATGAGATAAGATTAGTATGGAATAAGACGCTTTTATCTCGAGGAATGAGACCCGCAGATCGTCCATTTAACATTGTACGTCCTTCAGCATGTAGAGGGTGGCTTCCAATCCAAACGCGTTGAGCTCTGCGAGAACCGGAAAAGTATTTCCCTGGTCGCATTTTCCGGGACTCGGTTTCGCTGTTTTTCGACACAATTCTCGAAACAAAAACGGCTCGCCGTAATGACCCCAATTACGGAATTACGCAATTATTGGCAGGAAACCGAACCGCCAATTAAAGCGTAGGGAAAAAATTGTTTAAAATAACAGAACAGAAATTATAGAACAACGCGCGTATACCTATATCGATTCCGATCTCGGGTCAATTTCGAATATATTTAGCCTGTCAATCACTTTTTTCCTGCCCGATCGACGTATGCTTATTAAACTATTAAAGCGTAGAAAACATCCTGCGCGTATATGGGGAAAACGGCCGTCGTTGCGGTTAATATCGCATATAATGGTTCCCATTTTTTATGAGTGTGTGTGTGTGTGTGTGTCGTAACAATAGGAATATGCCGTGGGCGTTTTGGTTTCTGTAAGCGACAGGAACGTTTAAAAACGGCTAGATTCGGTTTCGGCCACATCCATGCACATAGCGAGACAGAGGATATAGTGAAACATTATGAAAAAAAAAAATAAATTTCTCGCGAACTGCTGACTCGCTTTGGATATGTATATTTTTGAAATTGTTGCTTAAAGCTTTAACAACCACGTTACGAAAAATATGTTTATTTAAATTTAAGTGTTTATAGTCAAACCAGTTTTATACTCAATGCTACTCAACTTCTGTTGTGAATCCAGTCTACACTATTAGGTCTCTAAGTTGCTTTTTATTCGCCTCTTTGTCTCACTTATTAAATAAAATCTAAAAATTAAATATCAAAATTGGGTTTAATTTGTGCTCGATCGTTATATCGATATATGTCGATCATTCAAGGAGGCAGCTTCGTGTTGATGATTTCTTTCATTCAATGCATGTTCCATCGAATTGACTTAAACAGTGTAAAACAGCGTAGACTGAAATTGCCACAGAATGTGACGACTAGTCTTTCTTAAAACTCTCTGTACATGCCTAGAATTTAGAAAATCGTTTAATTATTTTGATAAATGGTCTTAATTGTGTCTAAACATCTGCTGGCAGACCTTTTTGACATTCACGCCTTTTTGTAATACAGAGCACTTGTACAAACGTCAGCACTCGACTGGAGATTCGTTCTATAAAAAAATGATTTGATTGATTGATTTACTTTGTTTTTCCTTAGGTTTTGAAGCCAGGAGATTCGTCTTCGTCCCGGTCCCATATTGCCATACATATCGTTGTTCGTTCCTCATAATATGAGCAATTTACGTTTTTTAATTGTTGTAGTAACTTCACATTCTTTTCCTATTGTGCGTATGACTTGATTATTTGTGACTGTGATTTGTGATGCTCTGGTTACACGAGAGACACTTTTTGCCAGCCAGGTCTTGTTTCAGAGGTGCAGGGACGTAATGTATAAGGTTGTTCGGAAAGTCATTTCGTTTTTTGCCGTCAGAGGACTTAATTACGTTTTTTCGAAACCAACTTCACACTTAAGCCGCATAACCATTATACGTCTTGAGAGCTGATATTGCAAGGCTTGTGTGTGAAAAAGTTCTATTAATTCTACGCAGTAGTTTTTGGTTGGTGCCCTCTTAAATATGGAGAGCAATAAGCAGCATTTTCGTCATATTTTATTTTTTACTTCAGAAAAGGTAAAAATGCTGTCCAAACGAGAAAAAAATTGACGGATGTGTACGGAGAAGGCGTGTTAACAGTACGCCAGTGCCAGAACTGGTTTGCAAAATTTCGATCCGGCAATTTTGATGTCGAAGATGCACCACGGTCTGGAAGGCCGGTCGAAGCTGACAAAGATGCGATAAAGGCATTAGTTGATGCATATCGGCGAATAACCACACGAGAGATCGGTGAGAGATTAAATTTGTCGAATTCGACTGTTTATGGCCATTTGAAAGGCATGGGCTTAACCTCGAAGCTCGATGTGTGGGTGCCCCATGTCCTTACGGAGCGAAATTTGTGTCGTCGCGTTGACGTGTGTGATTCGCTCCTCAAACGTCAAGAAAATGATCCATTTTTGAAGCGGATTATTACTGGGGACGAAAAATGGGTCGTATACAACAATGTTAAATGCAAGAGGTCATGGAGCAGAAAAGATGAACCGGCTCAAAGCGTGTCAAAAGCCAACATTCACCAAAAAAAGGTGATGCTCTCCGTTTGGTGGGATGTCAAAGGAATCGTTTTTTTTGAGCTTTTGCCGGACAATACAACGATTAATTCAGAAGTCTATTGTCATCAACTGGACAAATTGAATGATTCACTTAAAGAGAAGAGACCCGAATTAATCAACAGGAAGGGTGTAGTGTTCCACCACGATAATGCGAGACCTCACACAAGTTTGGTCACTCGCCAAAAACTTTTACAGCTTGAATGGGACGTACTGCAACATCCACCATATTCTCCAGATCTGGCGCCTTCCGACTACTATTTGTTCCGGTCCCTGCAAAATTTTCTGGATGGCAAAACCTTTACCTCAAATGAAGATGTCAAAAACCACCTGAACCAGTTTTTTGCCAGCAAGGACCAAAACTTTTATGAGAGGGGAATTATGTTACTGCCAGAAAGATGGCAAAAGGTGTTGGACCAGAACGGCCAATATATAATTTAATAAAATATTTATTCATTATACGAAAACTGTCTTTCATGTTCCCCAAAAAAAACGAAATGACTTTCCGAACAACCCAATATGATATACATGTACATATACATGCTTTGTGGACTACCAGAAGTCGTTCGATAGAGTTAGGCATGCCGAACTTATGTCATTCAACAAAATCGGTCAAAAATTATTTTTGAAATATGGTAAGTAAGCGATTTTAAAAAAATATTTAATACTCCGTTCTTGGAAGCTAAGCATTTCCGGATGCACATTTACATGTACCCTGTATACTGAAGTATTTGTCTAGACTATGCTTTTTAAATGAGTAAACATTAATTTCGCAGTCTAGCACATTGTGTGTATTTGAATTTAGATACGGAATGTATCGATTAAAACATAATGATAGGAACAAGGACTCTGCTTATGGTCTATTTTTCTTTGTTGCATTCGCACTTATGCTATGGCACGGTGCTCGTTCGGGGGATCTCCTTGGACGGCCTAGGTTTAGACTGAGGAAGTCTGAGAGCAACTCGTTGAACCTGAAATTGTATAATGTTTTGCGAGGTACCGTGAAAAAGATGAGCAATAGAAAATTTAAACATATTATTAAAGAATTCCTACAACGACATTGTTTTTACTCCCTGCGAACATACATTGACACTGTCACTGGTATCGATGCGCTATAAAACTCTATAGTACTGTATAATTTTGTTTGTATTAGATGTGTGTTTTTATGTTGTTTTTTAATGTGATTTTATTACACTTGAATATAACACCGTTAAAGTTGACAAACTAAACTGGCATCGAAAACTATGCGGCTCTAATTTCAATAATATATCCAGAATATTTTTATAAATGTAAATATAAACTTGCGTGCATAAAAGTCTGTCCACTGTAAATTTTTGATTTGGAAGACAATTTAATACGCTTTGGTATGAGTTTAAATTTGTCAAGAGTGCTGCTAATCTTTTATATGCGTAGCTACGATTAAACAAATGTTCATGCAGTACTTATATTGATAGTAAAAAACTGGTTTTGCCTTGGCAACTGGAACTTTCACAATATTCGTTTTTAACCATTTGGATAGCGTTTAATTGTGTGAGTTTCATACTTGCAGCTCAAGTTATCGCTTTAATCGAAAGTGGACTTCGCCAGCCAGCTATTGCTCGACAGCTAGGCACCCTGGAACAGGCAGAAGACGAATTACAACGGCTTGTGATGACCTCTTTATTGTCTCATCAGCTCCATGAAGTTCGACAGGCACGACAAGAACGCCTACGCTTTGCACGGGATAATCTGAATTAGACATTGGACCAATGGGGATCTGTTCTGTTGTCCGATGAGACCAGAACATGCCGATTGGCAGAATGCTGCAATGAAGAGCGGAGCCCTTATGTGGATATTATATAGTTATATAGCTGCAATAACTATGAATAACAATCAATTATATTTTCCAACAAACTTATATTAAAAAAAAATGTGTGGCATGCCAACAATCAGATGATCGAAATCTGCATTATCTTCATTAAATAGAAGATGCGGTGGTGACCTCGCAGGTTACAGAGCGACCATAATGTTCGTGTAGTAATCCCATGCAACCTCAGGCTTCATGCAAAATTGAAGTTGGCGCCTTTGGCCATGTTTTGGACGAAGTCTTCTACTGCCATCAGGAGTCCATAAAAGATATGATTCGAATGAGCACCAAGATAGACGTAGCTGTGTCTATGTCTATTGGTTAATTGCAGTACCAACCCCAGGACGGTAAGACTGCTACCCAAAAGCTTTAATTCTTGGATAAATCGAAGCCGTCTCTTAGAATTTGTAATGTGAATGTGACGATTTACAGACACACATTCTAAAAAAATACAAAACCATTTATTTTTTGAGCTGGAAAAGGAAACCAATATTATACCAAGCATAAAAAAAAATCAAAAAATACTTTTTTGCTCTGAAATTATTTGTTTTGTTGCACTTAAGAAAAAAAAACTCGAAACATACAAAAAAATATTGGAAATACGAACCACTGGGAAAAACATTAAATAATGTTTTGGGGCACATAAGATTTAACCTATAATTTATACACAAATATACAGAAGAAAGTTCAAATTCGACAGAAAACAACTAAAACTAGATTGCGCACCATTGGTAACACCCGGTTTCATTTTTGGTGATATTTTACAAAGCACGAAGTATGTAAATGCACATTACATTTATTACAAACGTAAATTGTGTGGCTGTGGCGGATTCTATATCTCCTTCGGGCTTCATTAGCATGAACAATCATGAGATGGCAGGCAAGATTAACGCACCACTTGGACAAAATGTGTTAAAAAAAAATCTGATTATTTGTATTTGTATACTTCATGCGGGCAGTTAACCGACAGAATATAGCCAGCCATATACTAGGTGTATGTATTTTTTTTGAAACGAACCAAAAATGTCCCCAATTTTTCGTTAAACTTTCCTCAAAGGATATTTCCGAGATGACGATAACTTGACGTACGTCCGACGGACACCCCGTACGAGGTCGCCCGTCCAACAAAGCGTCCAACTCGGTCGGTAACAATCCGCGTCGGCCGCCTCCCCGCCTCCGAAACTCGGTCTTTTTCCACGAAATGAAATTATAGGGGACGTTTGACGTGGTTGTGACAGGCAAATGAGGATCGCAGAGTTTAGGAAAATCGAGTAAATTGCCTTTAATTCGTTCGAGATTAGGGGCGGCGTTGTCAGATCTTGCGACGGTACCTAATTACCGACTGAACGTAATTCTCCGAGCCCTTTGACCGTGGCAATGTTTTTATTTTTGAGAAATGCTTAACAGACTAACCCTTCGACATTCAGGTCTGTAAAATCAAGCCGATCATAATATCCACCATCCCAATTGAGTAACTATTTAGAACAATAATGGAACTTTTCCACAGGGGGTTAAGCAAGTAAAATAACAAAAAAAAGTCTACTCAAAAGCTTGAGGTCAAACGCCAATGCAACAACTGGTCTCTGGCCTAGGTAGCGGACTCTTATTCCTAAAGAGCAAAACTTCAAAAACAAGAAAAAGTAAATGATAATTTGCTCTCATGAGATTGTCAAGGTGAATGTCCAAGTCAGTCTAGTAGCGGAATATGTTTAAGATCTGAATTACTAAAATAATCGGACTGAGGTGTCATTCGATGGTCATTCTAAACGATGTAGCTTGCAGTGGATTAAAGAGAATAGAGTGATTTTTTTGCTTCGGTGTGTGTTCTCTTACTTCGATTATTTTTTTCTGGAAAGTTTAGTAGAATATCTTGATTCAAGTATAGTCAATATGGATTTGACGTTTTACGGTTATGGCGACCATGATTATTAAGATATCTACGAATCTTCGCATGTTAGCACCTTCAAAATAGGCAGACAAGTTAATTTTCCTATATACAAGTGTCCTCCTGGCGTTCCAGATTCATGCTAATTTAAATTAGCATTTGGAAGCACCAAGGAACACCCCCTATAAATAAACCCATGTTTTTGTTGCTTGTTGCTATTTGTTTCTATTACATTTTGGTCCTTGAATTTGCTATCAGAAGGTCTCTACGTGGCATTCTATTAAGTTTACGCTTCGGAGGAGGCTTGACTCTTGAGTTGGCTATCAGAAGCTGACAAAACACCAGGCGGTGATGCTAATTAACTAAATTAACCAAAACTAAGCAATTTCCGCCTGGCATTGCAACAGTATTGGTTAGTTTTTGATGGACAACGCGGTCAGTATAATAAGTACATACTATTTTACTCAGGACAATATAGTTTTTATTACTTCTATCGTCTTGGTCCTTGAGTTTGCTATCATAGTATTTTACTCAACACAATATAGTTTCTATTACTTCTACCGTTTTGGTCCATGACTTTGGTATCAGAAGGTATCTACGTGGGATTTTATGAAGTTTAAGCTTCGGAGAAGACTGACAAAACAGCAGGCTAACCAAAACTAACCAAAACTAAGCACTTTTCGCCTGACATTGGCAAAATATTGGTTAGTTTTTGATGGAGAACGCGGTCAGTATAACAGGTACATAGTATCAGGACAATATAGTTTCTAATACTTCTATCGTCTTCGTCCTTGAGCTTGCTCGTGCCCTCAGAAGGTCTCAATCGTGGCATCCTGCGAAGTTTACGCTACGGAAAAGGCTGACAAAACACCAGGCGGCGAACCTAACCAAAATATTTTCACTGCGGGCGAAGAAACTCGAGTCCCGGAGGCGGATAACCAAACCGGGGCGACAACTGTTGATCGGCAAATCACAGATGCGAAATTCAAAAAGGATATATGTATATACGAGTCCTCAAATGCGTGCATGTGAGTGACAGGCTCGTTGCGGCGGCTTCCTCCCGCGTGTTGCACGCAACGGGGCGTGCAAAGATACCGCCGTCGGGTCGTGATGGGCCCCAACATCATCACTTGGCTGTCCACGTAGTCGTCGTGGCATATTCGGGGCTCATCTGGGGGCCCAAGGAACGCAGTCGTACCGTAATCGTTGCCCGGGCGGTCCGGATGAATTTTGGCGGGAAAATGTGCGACCGAGGTCGGGTGAGGTCAGTGGTGATTGTGGGTGAAAAGAGTCAAAGTGGTGCCAGGCTCAGAAAACGTGAGAGAGCGATTTTTGTAGCCCCGTCGTTCCGAATTGCAAGTAATTGTCTGCTTAGATCGGAAATGAGACGCGATTGAAATGGAGACGGAAGAGGACTAATTTCCAAATAGAATATCAGAAAATAACGTGAGTTTTTTTTAATTTTCTCTGTGAAAGGAGCTAGAAAAATGTTTCCTTTTTAAATTTCTGTATGGTTTAAGGTTTAAGTAAATGAAATTTAGACCACAAATTTATTTCTTTACAGTTCACAAATCATATAATTTTGTACAGGGCCTTCGCTAAGGAGGGGACCTCCAAACTTTTTTTATGGGGACATTTTTTAATTTTTGGACATAAATGGTTATACGATATAAAAACAAAAAATTACTCATTTTTAACGTCAAAAAAAGTACTGGGTTTCGAATTATTTGAGGTTTTAGCAAGTATAATGTCGAACAAAGGCACAGGGTCTAATGATTGTTTAGGAAACAACTATGTCAAGTTAAAATACGGCGAATTATTTTAAAGTTTGTCCATGGTCCAATCAAAATTAGAGCCTCCTTTACATACTAACTTAATAACGGAGCGTTTTTTGGAACACCTGGTATAAAAAACAAAAGAATCATCTACCTATTGAATTAGTTACTACAATGTTAACTCTGTTTTTATGAATTTAATTTGATAGATAATTGACAGTAATGAAATAATTTATAAATAACATATAAATTTACTGGAAATATTAATTATTTCCCAAAAATATATTCAACTCAATGCAGTCTATATATTAATAATATTACATATAAAAATAAAAAATACAAATAAAAAATATGTGAATACGTAATTATTGTTAAAATTTTAGAATGAATTTGTCGACAAAGAAAACGCGTTTACTTTAACTTAGGTACCCAAAATGAAATGGCATATTTTGACTAAAATCCGGTGCTTCTTATTAGACGTAATTCCGATGTGGTCTTTCAGCAGCAATGAAGAAATATTTTATTAAGTGAATCAAACAATCAACCTGTGACACAAAGTTTTAAGAAAATAACGTCTTCCTACACTGAATATTTATGAAACACAATTGGACCAAATAACAAAGATCAATTACAATACCTGTATTCTTTTCTCTCTGCTGTTTAACCTTCTGTTGACTGCTACACCGCTTTAATCTGTACCCTAAAATTCCATATTTGGAAAAACTTACTCAAAATTTCACGAAATATCATAAAATGTTCGATTTTCCTTGAAATTTCTTACTCCTTACTAAATTACTGCAGTGATTAGCTTTCGGATTTGGTACCATTATGGGTATAAGAATATTCATGACCATTTGACCACAAAAACTCTTTTTCCTATTGCGAAAAATGTCTCCTTATTTCATGCTGCTTCTTTTCTCTCACCTTTCGAGATAGTTTTTGGAAGCGCAAGTAAGTACAGACGCTGGGCGTCGCGGCGCCCCTCAACGATTTAACGCCTGCAGTAATGATAGAAATTTTACCAAAAACCACCCCCGCCCCGTAAATTACAACCCTGCCTGCCCCCGGCTCGTCGTTAGATCGCGTTTTGATTCGGAAACTCGATTGTCAGTGAACGACACGCCAACAGACGCAAAATCCCCCGACGCTTCTGCCCTCCGTCGTTCTCCCCCCCGCGGGGGAGACTCGAAGGGTGAGCGATCCTCCGTGACGCGATCGCGTCGTGGGCGTGGCCGTCGGTCCTTTGGGCCCGCTCTGCCGCCCAATGGTGGCGCGTAAGCCGACCAGATAACCGTCCCTACCATATTTGAAAATTATCCTTATTATTGTATTTCGAAATTGCGCAGGTGGCCATTTTGGTATTATATCTATACATATATGTACGCAACATTTTTTTCCACGCCGCGCCAGTCCCATTATTTCCTGAGCCGCATTAACTAAATTGCCGATGGTTTGTTTTGTTTTCGAACATCCTGCCCCGGAGGTGGAACAAAAAACGATTCGAAACAATTTTTTTTACCGCTTGTCGAGGTGTCCGTCAATTGTTCCCAGTGACGACCGGCGGGGCGTGACGAGCTAGGACTATATCTCACCTGCCGACACCTGGAATTCCCTCCGAAACATTTCTAGTCCCAAACTAGCTTCTGAATCTTAAAATCAATTTTCTACCCAGACTTCTTTTACAGAAAAACCATTGAATGTTAAGCATCCTCTAAAAAAGACTCTGACGCTCTCGGTCTCTACTGAGAATCGCTGCGCTGCTTCTTCTACCACTAAAACACCTCTAAATCAGTAGCTCATGCATTTATCTTTTGGACAAGACTCATTGCTCTGAGCTAATTTCTTCCGAGTCTTATACAACCTCTAAGTCTGTAGTCTTGAGGATACCTATTGAATCTTCTAGAGTGTAAGTAGTGAATCTGATTCTTTTGCCTCTCGAATGATCATAACTATAGAATCTGAATCATCATGAACGCAGCTAGCAACTGCTTTGCTCCTTTAAAACAAGCCCACAAACGCTCTTTATCTTTTGAATCTGACTCAATACTCTGCGCTGAATAATCTGAATCATCCTCCAGAGAGACTCATTGCTTTGCATGGACTTCTCCTCTTTCTCTCTAAACCTCCTTTGGACTTTGTACTAGGCAATTAATAAACTTGATTAATCAATGTCAATCTAACTCCTGGATATCTTTACCTCATTACAGGTATTCCAAGACATTCGACGATCTGGTCAGAGGGCTTGGGGGCAATGATTGATTACTATTGTCACAGAACAGTCAGTGCCCTGGGCCATTGTTGGAAAATGGACTTACATAAATTACTAAACAGAATTCCCTACATTTTTAGCTTCGCAGTCCAAGGACCCATATTTTTCCTTATATACTTAAATCAACTACTTATGATTGATGTTTGCGGTAAAATCATCTCTTTTGCTGATGATACAGTTCAGTTTGTTGAAGGTAACAATTGGGGCGAAGTAGAGAATCGCATTAGTTGGGACTTGCAACTTACGTCACAGTGGACTTGACAATAATGTATTTATCCCGGCAACTTACTAAAATATCTAATAAGCAAATTACTTATTTTTACTTATTTTTCACTGCTACAATCACTTATACCTTATGGAATAATTGGTTGAGGTGCTCTTCAGTCCCTTTACGTAATACAAAAAAGAATTTTGAAAATCATATTTAAGTTAAATCTGCGATATTCATCTGATTTCAGATACTTCACATAAAAAATGTATATTATAAATCATCCCTTTTGTTCTTAATAAAAAATAACTTACTGGTTAATTCAATAACTCACGAGTATGAAACACGCTTTAAACTGGGAGAAAATTTAACTTTGCACAAGATGCATTTATCTGTTGGACAAAAACAATACTTTTATACTTGTATTTATTATTTATATATTTATTTATTATTTATTTATACTTATAGTATTATAATGCACTACCTCTGGAACTGAAAAATAAAATAAAATCAAAATCATTTATAAAAAATTAACTAAGTGGCTTATTGATGCTAAATCGTAACTTAATTTTCTAAGTGGCTATTTATTATAAGTCAAATTCACAGATTCATTAATGTATTGTAACTATATAAAATAGTTTCTATTTTTTGCAGAATACTATGTATAAAGATGGCTGCCAAGTTTTTAACTTGGTAAACCTTGAATATACGTGTTTTTTGTATTAATATTGTTTTTTTTTAATAAAGAATATTATTATTATTATTAATGTTTGGATAATATGTTTTAGTGTACAAGAATCATAGGAAACGAAACATCAGAAAAGAATTAAGCTACAAATTGAATTTTTACCAGACCACCACTGTCAACTACTGTCTGTAGGAAGTGTTTCTTGAACATTTTTTCTACTTAGATGTTTCTTGTGCGATATATAGCATCTGAAAGTTATTTGAATAGAGTTAAACCTATAAATTTATGAAAACTAAGGCTTTGCGCGGATTTACAATTTAAAAAAATATATAAAAAAATAGCTTACATGAAAAAATAGGGCAAAAACGCCAAATTAGTTACAGCCGACGCGGGAACTGCAATTCTGCACTGCTTTTCTACACCTCAATTCCTTTCTTGAACGAAAATTTAATCGGATTTCGACATATTTTGAGAAAATACAGCCGTAACAATTGCCGCATCCAAAAATCGACGATCTGTCAGCGGCCATATTGTTTGTTGAAAGCCGCAAGGTCTTATGGGTCCTACGTCAGAATTGGCCATTAGAGCTGTCATTGGTTAAGACCGAAATTTTAAAACTCGCGCATGCGCACGTTTAATGGACCTTCTCAAAATTTAGGCAGGGCCTCTATATGTCTAGTAGCCATATGGTTAAACCTTACTAAAATCATTATTATAAATTATATATTATACGCGTGTTAAGCATTTACATTCGAAGCTTTGGCAGGTATTTCGCTCCTCGTCTAGCACACTGGCGCCGAGCTAACCGCGTATATAGGTGACGATTTGTGCGATGGTATCGCACATTTTACGGTGCGATCGCAAAATTCCGCGCCGATGATATTACCCCCATAAACATCGGATCAGAATTGCGTATAAAGACATTAAAACCGATATATCGTGAAACACGTTACGCCAAGTCGCTTATCGCGTGTGAGTCTTGGGACGTCTTGGACTTTGGCAAATCTGCCACTCACTCTGGTTTATCGCGCAATAAACAAAAGATACATGTAGAGTGGCCGATCTCAAGGCTCTTGGTAACTTTAAACTGTTAATTTTTCTCGAGCACTGTAAAACTACGCCCAACGTCATCTGTATGTGCCGACTTATTACTTCCTTTCATTACCTCTATCTCGCTCCTTTATATATAAGGTAAATCGAAAAACTTTCAACAAGTTTTTTATTTATTCTAATTAATCTTTGCAAAAAAGTATAACATAAACATAAGCTATAAATATAAATAAATAAAAAAAAATTAATTGGCCCATCTCTCACAGAACGCGAAGAAGAGATGAACCACCGATTATAGGAGAGATGGACTAATTTAATTCGTTTGTCCTTTTTTCATATTTGGGGCGGTACCACATAGTTGGCATGTGTTGGTGTAGGATGTGCGGAGAACGCATCGCATTGCATTGATTTTCGAGGTCATCAAAGGTTTCTTCTTCTTCTTCTTCCCCACTTATC